CCACCCCTGCCCTGGGCTGGGCAGCTGGAGGGGAACAACGCCCAGAGCTGCAGCTCCCAAAGGCCAGGCCAGGCCCAGCCCCTTCCTGCTGCCAGCAGCCTCTGACAGGGACCCCTGGCACCTTCCCAGAGGCCTCTCCTGGGAGTTTTCCCGGGCTGGGTCCAGGGAAGCTGCTCAGGCAGTCGGGAATCTGGGTCTGCAGCAGCCCTGGGTGTGGGGAGTGTCCTCATCCCTCAGGTCTGGGCAGTTTTCCTTGGTGCAGCCAGAGCCAGGGCTGATCCTATGGGGATGCTCCTATCCTGAGCTCCTCCCTGCAGCCCTGCTTCCCTGGCAGCTCATGGCACCTTGGCACAGTTTTTGGTCTGTCCCTTTGGACAAAGGGGACACACAGAGGGGTGAAAAGCTGCAGCAGTGGCTCAGGGAGTGAAGGGTTAATGCCTGGCTGTGCTGGTGCATGTCCTGCAGCTCCATCCTCCAGCCAAGGGAGCAGCTCCTGCCTTTGCCAGCTCCTCCATCTGGATCACACAGGGATCCCTCCCTGCCTTTGTTCCCTCCTGCTCTGCAGCTTTGTCCTTTTGGATGGGCTCATCCAGCCCCCAGGAACTGCAGGGGAGGGAAAGGAAACTCCTAAAGGCTGCACAGGGCTGCAATGCTCCTCTCCATCAGCTGGAGCTGTGGAATTCCCACTCCTCCCTGGAGAGCAGGAGGGGTTAATGTGGAGCCCAGAAATGCATCAGTCCCACCCTCTTACACCAGGGATGGGCCTGGGGGACTGCAGGAGGATCCTGAGCCAGGGAAGCTGAGCAGGAGGGGGCAGCTGGCCCAGCATGGCCTGGAGGAGCTGGGGGCTCTGCCAGCCCCAGGCCTGGGGGCTCTGCTCCCACTGCAGCACCCCCAGAACAGCTCAGCCCCTCCAGCTGGGGCACTGGGAATGTGCAATGAATTCCTTTAAAAAAAATACAAAATGGTTGGGTAATAAATAACAAAGTCACGTGGTCGGTGTGGGGCTGCAGCAGGGGAGGGTTACAGCTCCCTGTGTGCTCCCAGCTGGAATCGAGCTTCCTCTGAGATCCCATACTGCTCCAGGGGGTCCTGTGGGGAGCACAGGGAGGCACCGGTGAGATGCAGACACAGCCCAGCAGCCCTTGGGACACACAGGACACAGCCAAGGTCCAGGGAGCCACAGCCACCTCCCTCCCCAGAGCTGGGATGCTCCTGGCACCTGGCAGGGCGTGGCTGAGCAGCATCTCCAGCCATGGATGTGCCCAGGGTGGTGGGGGCTGTTCCAGAGAGCCCCTGGGAGCTCCAAACCCTGGGCCACTCCAGCACTGGGATTTGTGCATCAGGGTAGGAGTGAGCAGCCAGGGCTGGAGCACTGGGATTTGTGCACCCAGGACAAGGTGCTCAGGTCTGGCTGTGCAGGTCACAGCTGCCTATGGGATCTGGGATCTCCTTCCCACACACAGCCTGGGCAGGACTGGCAGCCCCTGCTGCTGCCAGGGAATTTGCTGGGAGATTTCAGGGAAGAGTTTCTTCCCCAGATCCCCTGGAAATGGGAGATCTGCCTGAGCCCAGCCCAGCCTCAGAACCTCCCTCCACAACCAGACAGGATCCCACTCTGTTCCATTCCAGACAGCCCCTGCTGGCACCCAGAGCCATTGTCACACCTGCAGGGACTCACTCACCTTCCCTGTCATCTTCTGGATCTCATTCCTGTAGAAAATCAGGCTCCTCCTCAGGAACTCGTAGCTGCAAAAGAGGAACAGAGCAGGGGAAGGATGTGGGCAAGTTTCAGCTGCTATTTAGAGCTGAGGGAAGCTTGTCTGGGAGGAGACAACACTGCCCTCCCAGTTCCTGCTCCCAGAGCAGCCCAGAGCCCCCAGCACTGACCTGGCCCTCTTGAGTGCCTCCACCCACTCCTGGCACTGCTCCTCCGTGGCACACTCAAAGCAGTATTTCCTCTCTGGCTCCTCGATGAAACCTGCCAGGGACAAGGAAAAGGCTCCAGGCAGGTCCTGGCAGAGCTGCTGCTGCTCCCCTGGCTCTGCCAGGCCACAATTAGCAGCTCTGTTAATGAAGATGAGCTGGGAATGAATCTGCCACCCCCACTTCCATCCCCTCTCCCATTCCCTGGGTGCCTGGGGCAGCTGCCCACAGCATTTCCCAGCTTCCAGCAGCCTGAGACCTTGGGAAGAGCAGCTTCCCAAACTGAGGGTGACCTGAACAGGACCAGCATGGCCAGATCCAGGACTGACTCCCTGAGGCCCCTTGCAAAGACACCAGGACTTAAATCCAAGTGGGAAACAGCCCTGAGAGAGGAACTGGGATACCTGCAGGGATAGCCAAGGAGTGAAACTGCACTGGGAGTGGGCCCTGAGGTGCCTTTGCTGGAGGATTTTGGGGATGTGACACTCACATGGCACTGCCACCATGGGGAGCAGGTCCTGGTGCCACTCCAGGACGTGCCACCAGTTCCTGTCCCAGAGCTCTGCTGAGCTCACCCTCAGGGCTGCTGCTGCCAAACCCCTGGGTCAGGATAAACCCAGGTTTACCCAGATAAACCCAGCTGCTGATTTTAACCCTGCTCAGGAATCCTGCCCCACCAGAGCTCCCAACACCCCCAAACCCCAGAATGCAGCCTGTGGTGCTGTGGGTACTGCTGGGTTTAANTGGGGACAGGGTCACATCCATGGGACAGGGACCCCCAGGGCTATGGGGACAGGGTCACATCCATGGTACAGGGACCACCATGGCCATGGGGACAGGGTCACATCCATGGTACAGGGACCACCATGGCCATGGGGACACTGTGCAGGGTCACATCCATGGTGCAGGGACCCCACAGCCCTGGGGACGGGGTCGCATCCACGGTACAGGGACCTCCAGGGCTGTGGGGACAGGGTCACATCTATGGTTCAGGGACCCCACGGCCATGGGGACACTGTGCAGGTCACATCCATGGGACAGGGACCCCCCAGGGCTGTGGGGACAGGGTTACATCCATGCTGCAGAGACCCCCTACAGCCCTGGGGACACCGTGCAGGGTCACATCCATGGTGCAGGGACCACCATGGCCATGGGGACAGGGTCACATCCATGGTACAGGGACCCCCAGGGCTATGGGGACACTATGCAGGGTCACATCCATGGTACAGGGACCCCTGGCCTGGGGACAGGGTCACATCCATGGTGCAGGGACCCCCAGGGCCATGGGGACAGGGTCACATCCGTGGGACAGGGACCCCCAGGGCTGTGGGGACACCGTGCAGGGTCATATCCATGGTATAGGCACCCTCATGGCCATGGGGACACGGTGCAGGGTGTGCAGGGTCACCCCACAGCCATGGGGACACCCTGCAGGGTCACATCCATGGGANTGTTCTCAGCTTTCTTATTTTGTTTTACAGTGACCAAACAGAGAGACCCAGAAACAGGCCAGCAGAGCCTTCTCTTCCAGGTAAGGGCAGGGTTCAAACTCTCCTTGTCAGGGTTTTCCAGGTCACACTGCTGCTAAATGAGCAGTTCTTTGCAGGATCTAATAAATCAATAATTATAAGGAGGCCTTATCTTCCTTGCTGCTGCAGCTGATTGTGTTGAGCAAATCCCTGAGCTCAGCTGTCAGGCTGTGAAATGGGAGAGGAATGTGGAGTCTGAGATGAGAATCACAGCAGAGTTTGGCTGTGAAAAAAAAGAAATTAAAAATTATCTGTTTCTATGCCCCTGTGATGGGCAGGGACCTTCCATGAGACCAGGCTGCTCTAACCTGGCCTTGGACACTTCCAGGCATGGAGCTTCTCTGGGCACCCTGTGCCAGGCCCTCCTCACCTTCACAGGGGGCAATTCCTGCCCAACATCTCTCCTAAACTTTACCTAATTCAGTTTGGGGTCTTTAATCCCAAACCATTGTGGGATTCTCAGCCTTTCCTTCGCTGTTTATTTCCTTTGCCCTGAGGATTGCTCTGGGTGTGCTCCACACTGGGGATGTGTTTGGTGACCAATGGCTCCTGGCCTGGCTCAGGAATTGTGTGGCCAGCAGGAGCAGGGAGCTCATTGTGCCCCTGTGCTTGGCAATGCTGAGGGCACACCTTGAGTGCTGTGTTCAGTTCTGGGTCCTCAGTTTGGGAAGGACCTTGAGGTGCTTGAGCACATCCAGAGGAGGCAGCAAGGCTGGAGAGGGGCTGGGAACACAAACCCTGTGAGGAATGTGGGAAGGAGCNGCTGGATCAGATGCTCCAATCCCTGTCTAGCCTGGATTTGGACACTAGCAGGGATGCAGGGGCAGCCACAGCTGCTCTGGGAAATCCATGCCAGGGCCTGCCCACCCTCACAGCCAAGAATTTCATCCCAATATCCCAACTAAACCTATTCTTGGTGTATTTGAAGCCATTCCCCCTTGTCCTGTTCCAACGTTCCCCTCCAGCTCTCTTGGAGCCCCTTTAGGCTCCATGGTCACCCCAGAGCCTTCTTGTGTCCAGGCTGAGCTGTGGGTTGGGTTTAAATACTTCTGTTTGTGGACATGTTGGGGTTGAATAAGGAATATTTGGGACAGAGTGACAGGGAGGTGCCAGCTCTTGTGTATCCATCTATTTCCAGTCTCCCCAGGGCTGGTTTGGGTTCTGGTGTTTCCTGCTGCAGCTGGGATTCTGTCACCAATGCACACAGCTGCTGTTGGTTCTCTCTCTGTTTCCTCCTCCTAAAGCTCTCTTGTGCTGTTAATTTAAAATGTGAACTCAGCTAAAGGATCCTGGGATTGGCTGAGCTGGGAGGGACCCTTAGGGATGATCAGTGCAGCTCCTGGCCCTGCACAGACACCCCAAAAATCCCACCCTGAGCAGCCCTGGGAGCTCCTGCAGCTCTGGCAGCCTTGGCACCATTCCCTGGGCAGCCTGGGCAGTGCCAGCAGCCTCGGGGGGAGGAGCCACTTCCTCTGCAGTATTTTGGTTATTCTCCTGCTTTACTAATGGATTTTGTTTATAACTTGTCCATCATTCTTTCCCCAGGACCCCTATTTTATGAAAAATCATCTGGGCTCCTACGAGTGCAAGCTTTGCCTGACACTGCACAACAATGAGGTGAGGGAACACCTGCCTGTCCTGATCCCAGCAGCANTGGGAGACTGTTGGGTATGGAGGGACTGGGAGAGTTGGGTATGGAGGAACTTGGAAGGAGGGACTGGGAGAGGTGGGTATGGAAGAACTGGGAGAGTTGGGTCAGCAGGGACTGGGAGAACTGGGAAGGAGAGACTGGGAGTGTGGTAAAGGAGGGACTGGAAGAGCTGGGTGTGGAGGGACTGGGAGTGTTGGGAAGGAGGGACTGGGAGAACTGGGCAGCCTGGGTGGTGGGGCTGGGGGAGCTGGAGAATCACGAGTGGGAAACTGGAGGAAGGGCATAGGCAGGGTTTGGGCTACTGGGAGGGTCAATGGGGCCGGACTGGGAGCACCTGGGGGACCCTGAGTACAGAACTGGGATGGAGTTACTGGAAAAGTATTGGGAGGGAGAACTGGAAAACCAAGGGTGCTGGATAAGGAGGGACTAGGAGAACTGCGGTGGTGGGGCTGGGGGGACTGGAGAATGATGAGTGAGAAACTGGGGTAGGAGCAGAGCAGCACTGGGAGCATCAGGAGGGCAGGACTGGGGGCCCCTGGGTGCAGAATCAGGACTGGAGTTATTGGAGGGGGACTGGGAGAACTGGGTGAGCTGGGTGGGAGGACTGGGGGTACTGGAGAATGAGGACAGGGAAAATGGGGGTAGGACTGGGAGGATCAGCAGAAGCAGGACTGGGGTATTTGGGGGACTTTGACAGGAGAATCAGGACTGGAGTTAGAGGAGAGGGACTGGGAGAGCTGGGTGCTCTGGGGGACCAGGGGTAGGATCAGGACAGAACTGGGAGCACTGAGTGAGGAGGGACTGGGAGAACTGGAGAATCACGAGTGGGAACCTGGGGTAGGGCCAGGGGAGGAGTGGGAATATGGGGAGCATCAGTGGGAGTCGGGGGGCCTTGAGTGGAGAATCAGGGCTGGAGCTGCTGGGGGCTGTGCCTGGAGAGGGACTGGGGGAGAGACACTGGGTGCTCTGTGGGGAAGGATTTGGGGTTCCTCAAAGGTCCTTCCAGTGTTTGGGCTCTGTGTGAGGAGGTTTGGGGGGGACTCCAGGACCTCACCTGGGGCTTGGGGCCCTCAGAGCCTTGTTGGGGGCTTGGGGGGCTCTGAGCCTCCCATGGTGGGAGGGTGGCCCTGGGGCTTTGGGGGGTGGTGGGGAGCAGCAGATCTGGTGGTGGACAGGGGAGAGCTCTTGGTGCCTCAGGTGTGGGGGGAAAGCTCCTGTTGGGAGTCTTGGGGGGGTCTCTGGTGGGGCTGCTTGGCTTGAGAGTGGCTGAGGAGATGGGAAAGGCTCCAGGGGGATTTTCTGCATCCTTTTACTCCACTTTCCTGAGTTGATACCAGATGTGGGATTGCATCCCATGCTGCATGGCCAGGGCATGTCTGAGGTGCCCTCCTCATCCTCACTGCTGGGCTGAGCAATCCTGTGGTTCAATTATCCCTTTCTTTTCCCAGACTGTCCATTTCTCGGGGTGCTGAAGGCCGGGAATCCCAGCCATGGATTTCCAGCACCGGCCCGGGGGCANTCTTGTATTTTATGGAACTCTGGGTTGTAGGAGACCTCAGAGCCCATCCAGTGCCACCCCTGCCATGGCAGGGACACGTCCAGGCTGCTCCCAGTCCTGCCCAGCCTGGCCATGGGCACTGCCAGGGATCCAGGGGCAGCCCCAGCTGCTCTGGGAAATCCATTCCAGGGATGGATTCCACAATTCCTGATTCCCAATCTCCCACCCAGCCCTGCCCTGTGGCAGTGGGAGCCATTCCCTGTGTCCTGTCCCTGCAGGCCTTGTCCCCAGTCCCTCTGCAGCTCTCCTGGAGCCCCTTCAGGCCCCAAAAGGGGCTCTGAGGTGTCCCTGGAGCCTTCTCCTGTCCAGGTGAGCAGGCCCAGCTCTGCCAGAGAACAATTCCTGCCCAATATCCCATCTAAATGGATTTTTTTCCCATCTAAATGTCACTTCTTCAGTGGGAGCCATTCCCTGTGTCCTGTCCCTCCATCCTCAGTCTCTCTCCAGCTCTCCTGCAGCCCTGCTGAGCTGGTGGAAGAGGAAAGGTGGACCCTGCTCCATTTTCCTGCACCACTTTCCCAGCCCACACAATCCAGGCACACAAAAAGAAGACAGGAGGAGGGGAACAAACCCCAGCCAGGAGCTCAGTCCCTACCTCGGCCTCATCGGTGCGGAAATAGAAGAGAAAATTCACCACGAGCTTCACCAGGCGCTTCTTGAGCACTGCAGGGACAGGGGGAGCAAGAAGGGCTGAGTCAGGGGGCACAGGGGGCACCCTCTGCCAGCCCTGAGCATGGCACTGAGTCCACCAAAGCACGTTCCAAACACTGCCTGGGGGTGACAAAGTGGCCTTGGGGTGACAGAGCCCCTGAGCTCCTCCTGCAGCAGCTCAGGAGGGCTCCCAGCAGCACCACGGGGCCTCAGGCACTCCAGGAAAAGCTCCAGACCCCAGCAGCCCCACCTGGAGCTGCCAGCTGGGCGTCACCTCCCAGGGACAAAGTCCAGCAGGAAAGGCTCAGCACAAGGGAGGGAGTAGGAAACCAGGGCTGGTTTGCTTGGGAATTTGCTGGGAGATTTCAGGGAAGAGTTTCTTCCCCAGATCCCCTGGAAATGGGAGATCTGCCTGAGCCCAGCCCAGCCTCAGAACCTCCCTCCCCAGACTGGATCCCACCACTGGTGCTCCCCATTCCCACAGTCCAGCCCTCCCAGTCTGCCTGTCCCAGTTCTGCCTCCCAGTGCTCCCACCCTGCCCCTGTGCCCAGTGCTCCCAGTGCCTTGCCCAGTGCTCCCAGTCATGCCCACCCAGTACAGCCAGTCCCACCCACCCACCTCTGCCCAGTGCTCCCAGTGCTGCCCTGGTTTCCTGGATCCTCCAACACCCTCAATGCTCCCTCCCAGCTCCCCCAGTCCCTCTCCAGCCTTGCCCCCCAGTAACTCCAGTTGTGATTCTGCAGTCAGGGCCCCTCAAGTACCCCCAGTCCTGCCCTGGTCCCACCCTCATGATTCTCCAGTTTCTCCAGCCCCACCATCCAGGGCACCCAGCCTCTCTCTCCCAGTCCCTCCCCAGTATCCCCAGTCCTGATTCTGCACTCAGGGCCCCCCAGGAACCCCCAGTCCTGACCCACCTTCACCCTCCTCCCCACACCACCCTCCAAACTTGCTACCCCTCCACCTGCCTCCCCCAGTTCTCCCAGTCCTGACTCGGTTCTACTGGTGATTCTCCAGTCCCCTCAGTCTCACCACCCCAGTTCTCCCAGTCCCTCCTCGCCACTACTCCTCCTTTCCCAGCCCGGGTCCTCCAGCACCCCCAGCTCTCCCAGTTCCTCTCCTGTAACCCCAGCCTGGATTCCCCATCTCGGGGCCCTCAGATATCCCCGGTCCTGCCCTGGTGCCACCCCAATAACTCCAACCCTGATTCCCCATTTGGGGCCCTCAGGTACCCCCGGTCTTGCCTTCTCCGATCCTCCCAGTATCCGCGGTCCTGCCCTGGTCCTACCCCAGTAACCCAAACCCTGATTCCCCACTCGGAGCCCTCAGATACCCCCGGTCCTGCCCCCCATGATCCTCCCAGTACTCCCAGGCCTGTCCTGCTCCCTCCCCAGTATCCCCAGCCCTGATTCCCCACTCGGAGCCCTCAGGTACCCCCAGTCCTGCCCCGCCCGATCCCCAGTATCCCCGGTCCTGCCTTGCTCCCACCCCAATAACCCCAGCCCGGACTCCCCCTCACCGTTGCCCTTCTTGGGGACGCTCATGCGGATCTCGGCCGCTTTCTCGGCGGGCTGGCGGGCCAGNCCCCAGAATGCAGCCTGTGGTGCTGTGGGTACTGCTGGGTTTAACCCTGCTCAGGAATCCTGCCCCACCAGAGCTCCCAACACCCCCAAACCCCAAAATCCAGCCCATGGTGCTGTGGGTACTGCTGGGTTTAACCCTGCTCAGGAATTCTCCCCCACCAGAGCTCCCAAACCCCAGAATGCAGCCCCTGGTGCTCAGTGTGCTCAGGCTGTGTGAGGGAAGCACAGAGCAGAGCCACAGCTGTGCCTGGCAGCCAGGCCAAAAGATACAGGGATGGCCTTGGAGAAACATCCTGTTATTGTGGCCACATACCTCTGGCACAGGGGATGAAAGGCTGCTCCCAGGGGAGTGCAGCTGCACAAGGACACACAGAGGGGAGGATGAGGCTGGAGCAGCTTTATCTGAGCCTCTCCAGGGTGTTTTTTTGGATCAAATGCAGCAGCACAGAGCAGATCTGTCAATAAGCAAGCTCCCCCTGCCAGGGATTCCACAGGCACTGAGGGGCCTGGCTGCTCTTAGTGCTGCAGTGCAAACCCCACAGGCTGTGCCATGGAACATCCCTGAGATCTCAGGATGGGCCATGGGCACAGGGAGGAACAGCTGAGGAGGGAAAGGCTGAGGAATTGGTGAAGTTGGAAAACTCCAACCATCAGCCCAGCACCACCAGGTTCACCCCTGTCCCCAGGTGCCAGTGCTTCCAAACCTTTTTGGGGAGTAATTTTTCCCCAGTATCCAACCTAAACCTGCCCTGGGCACAACTGGAGTTCATTTCTTCTTGTCCTGTTCCCTGGGAGCAGAGTCTGAACCCCACCTGAAGGACCCTGAGCCCACAGAGGGAGAGGAGAAGGGCTGGGGGCAGTGACCCCAAAAGGAGGGGAAGGGCTGAGCTGCCCCCAGGGAAACAGGGAGAGCAGGAACTGAGCAGGGCCAACATTTCCTTCCCCCTGTGCCACCAGGGGAAGGCAAAGGGAGCACAGGCAGCACTCACTGATGGAGAAAACGTTCTCCTCCTCTTTGGTGATCTTGCAGTGCTCCAGCAGCAGAGCTCCAATGGGCTGGAAAACAGAGAGAGAGAGGGGGTTTAACCCACAGAGCCCCAACACCACGAGGGCTGAACCCACAGAGCCCCAACACCACGAGGGTTTAACCCACAGTGCCTCCCTGGAGCCTTTAAAG